TAGAATTAATTGTGATATAAAATATAATTAAATTAAAATTTGATTAAAAAATAGGAATTATAATAAATAATTAAATATTTAGGATTAATTGTGAACTAAAAGATAATTAAAATAAAATTATAATAAAAAGTTAAAAATTACACTAAATACTTTATAATTAATTGTGATTTAATTAAATTAATATTAGACATTATAAATTATGTGCATGAGAGAGAGAGAGAGAGAGAGAAATATGATTTGAAGATATTACAGTCATTTCACATATATAGTTATGGGTGTCACGGTTGTACTTTGCTTCAAAATCACATAAAGAAATTTTAACTATATTTGAATAATGGAGGAGTAAAGTACTATGACCTCAAATCATAAGAGGTTAAAATAAATTTTGTATTATTTTTTTAGATTTATAGTATTACTATTTTTAGTAATAGACAAAATAATTTACGATACACTTGTGTTCTTAAATCATAAAAAATTATATCCATATTTTCCAATGACACCCAAAAGGAATCACAAGTAGACTAAGCATACGGAAGGTAGGGTAAAGGAAATTTGGCCAATAATATAGGATAGGTAAAGATAACAATTTTAAGATGGGTAGGCAAAGGGACCCTTGATTTGCTACTGAAAAAATAAGCCTATTTAACATGTAGGGTACAGATCATTTATTATGTTTAAACTAATGTGTGAATGAATAAAAAATTTTTTTTGATGAGAGTATGCTATTGACGGATGGAGGTTTCGTTTAGAAAAGATTATTTTAATAATTTTTTAATTTTTTATAAAAGAATATAGAAAAGTAAAAAAAATAATGTAATAATTTATAATATTTTTTTTAACTTTTTAGTTAAAATATTTGTTTACTAAACGAGGTCAGAGAATTGGGTTAAGCCACATTCACAGAGGTGCAACATGGTTTGAATTAGGGCTTGTAACCCCTTAGCTAAGATGTGACCCATGCTTGCCCATTGTTTGACACCTGTGGCTGACTGGCTGGAGAGATCAATGCAAAACCCCACCAGAGCGTGAACAATCACTCTTCCAATTGATCACCATGGGACCTTAATTGATTAGGAGAGAGAATAATAATTATTTTTTAAATTTGGTAAAAAATAGAAATAATATTTTACTGATAATAATAAAGTACAAAAATATTAGGGTGAGTTGTATCTTTTGTTATTTTAGTTTTGATATTTAATTTTAAATTTTGTATCAATTGATAGTATTGATTAAGATTTTTGAATAAAAATTGTCACTAAATTAGTTGGGATTAACTCCTTTACTTGAACAAGTTCATAATTTCGCCTATAAAAAAAAAGGATACCTGCTACTTATGTGTAGATTTTTCACACACACACAAATTGTAAGTAATTGGATCAAATTAAGAAAAAATAAAAAATTCAAAATCAAAATTGAACTAACTAAAATTATAAGATTCAAAATGATATAAAGACCAAAATACCGTGACTACTGATATAATTTGTTCAAAATATTATATTAATGGAAAATGGAACAGAGATTTACAAATAGATGAAATCTTTGTGGGCACAAGTTTTTAGTGTGCACTTTTATTTATTTATAAATATTTTTCATCTTTTATATTGAAATACTATTTTTCCATCATATATTACAAAGAAAAGAAAGAGAGGAGAAAGAGAAGAAAACAAGTTAGTCGAGAAGTAACCTACATATAAGTGGCCCTAGATTGATAGAAATACTATGTAGTTATAAAAATATTAGAAAGTGTTTAGAATTTGAATTTATAATATAAATATAAATTCAATGTTTTTTATTTATTTATTTTGGCAACTAGATTTTGTCATTGCTAATACTACTTCTTCGTAATAAATATGTTGTTTTCTTATAATGACATTATTTGGAGTGAAATTTACTGTTGATAAAATTAACATGTCACAAAATAGTTAATTATTTGCAGCGGTAGACTCATCGTTGCAAACAATTCTATCACAAAGGGATTGAATTCAAGTAGTATGTGGTATAGGTCACACAATGAATTTAATCTACATATTTTATATTTTAAATTATTTTTAGAGTACATTATGTTGCTGTTGTTGTTTTTATTTTATTATTTATTATATATATATATATATATTTTTATGGATAATACATAACATTGTTGTTAAGAAGAATAGTGAAATGTGGAGTGAGATAAATTTTTTTTTGTATAAATTAACCTAGGGCCGGCCCTGAGAGTAGGCAAGAGAGACCTGCGTCTTGACCTCCCAAATTTGGGTTGAAAATAAAAGCCCCTAAATATAATTTTGTGTTTTACATATAAAAAGAAAGTTCAAATACTATAGGTCCAATTGAATAAGGATAAAAATAAAGCAACAAGACTAGATTTTTATTTTTTTTTAATTATTTGTAATGATTGCTTCCTATTTTAATAAATGAAAGTAAATTTTTATTTATAATTTTAATGATTATATGTGTAAGTAAATTTTTCTGTGACTATAAACAAATAAAAAAGTTGTAACTTATCATTTTATCTATGAATATTTTTTTAATGTAAGAGGGCCTCATTTTCAAAGTTCGCCTTGAGCCTGCTAAATCTCAGGGCCAGCCCTGAATTAACCAGATTGAAAAACAGTTTGGTTTGGAGTTTTTAAAAAATATTTTTTTGATTTTTTGATTTGTATTTTTTATTTTTAGTGAAAATATTTCATTGATTTTTAATTTTTTTTTTCATTTTTAGATTCATTTAATTTAGATACACTTTAAAAGTTCTAAATTTGTGCAAAAATATTTCAAAAATTCATTGAATATAAAAAAAAAATCAATATATTTTCGTAATTTATTGTAAATTTGAAAACTCAAAAAAATATTTTTAAAAATTCCAAACAAAGAAAGAGGTTTTCAATATATATATGTGATCATGGTCCCTATTGATTACAGTGATCCTGGTCCCTAAATAATTCATAAAGATGAAAACGAACCAATAGTGATCGCCATTTGTCTCTCACTGTTCATTTCTATTTGTCTCAGTTTAATTTCTTCGAAAATCGTTAAAATATAGATACAAGTGCCCCATCATCATTGAACCATTTTGCAAATTTGTGTTGGTTGAAATCCATAATTATTAGTATATAAAATTATCCATTTTGATCAAGACTCAGGCCAAGTTGTACATCCTCTAAAAAATTTTAAAAGTCAAAAAGTCACTATCCTATTTAAGTCACATCATCTTATTTAAATCACATCACCTCTCTAACACATCACTTCAAAACCAATCCAAATCCAACCCATATTTCATAAAAAGTCAAAAAGTGCACTTATTTAGTCTTCCCAAACTTGGCCTCAATGTATATGCACTTGGATTATAATAATCATTAGGAAAAGTTTTAGAATACCGAAAAGGGTGGAGCTTCTCTCCAGTCGGATTAGAGGGTACTGTTGGATCTGTGAGAGTTTATTATAGGTCTCGTTTTTATAATTCTAACCGTTCAATGTGTAGAACTCGTCGAGTATTATATACCTGTAAAAAATCACGTTAATCAGATATCAATAGCTATTTCATTAGATCAGTTTTCTGTCAATCGTTTAATTTTTCACACGTCTATTTTTTATACAAAACTAATTTGATTACGTAGCTATGATATCCGATCAATAAGATTTTTTATAGGCATATAGTACTCGATAAATTTTACACATTATACAGCTTATATTATCTAAATGAGACCCGTGATAGGCCCCTACGGGCCCAACAGCACCCTCCAGTTCGATCTGGGGCTGGAGGGAAGCAAGTGCCTACAAGAAATTATGCATTATAAGTGGGTATTTTTTTATCTCACATTTTATGCATTATGTATTTAGAACTTTATGGGGCCAAATTTAAAAAAAGGAAAAAAAAAAGAAGCTTTTAGGTTTTAACTAATTTTAAGTCACATCACCTCTCACATTTTTTACACATAAAAAGACAAAAGAAAATCAAAAAAATCAAAAAGTCAATTTTTAACAAACTTTCTAAATCATCCCCAACCCTAATAATGACTATATTTATGGCATTATTTAGCAATTTTTTCAACTGGGTCCGGACCCATTGTTGAAATATTGTCCAAGTTGTTTCCCTTGCTTCTGAATTGGGACCATATCAACATAGGCCACAGGTTTATGAAGACATGGTTACACTGTAAAAATCCAGTTTAGTGTCTCAAATTGTATTAGGGTAAATTTCACTTTATTCTTGCAGTTTACTCGAGGTGTGGTTGGTTTACTCTCATTGCATTTCAAAATAAATACACATTGAATTTTTTGTCATTTGTAAATTAAAATGTATCATCAAATATTTTGTTTAAATTCATAATAAGTATGAAATTTGTGCATGAATATGAATGAATAAGTCATGAGCTCATATCTAAACATCAAAAGCAAATCACACGTAGAGTAAAAAAACAAGTGTTGAAGTACATTTTGAGTTTAAAAAAAGGTGAAATTATAAGAATTCTAAAAATAAGATTATTTATGTACAATAATATTTTCGTCTTTTTGTCCTTATAAACTGTTAACGGACGTTGCACAACTAAACTAACCATACCAACAAAGCACAAATAAACTTTTGGGTTTGTAATTATCTAATGTGAGTCATAATTTTCATGTTATAATCTTTAGTGTGATTTATTATTTTATTTATTTATTTATTTTAAGTAAGATATATATAAGTGGAGTATTTTACCCGACGTTCCTCATTAAAAATTAAAATAAAATAACAATTTTTTAAAATTAGATATTTTGAAATGATTTCAAAATGATAATTATGAATTTATTTTTATTTTATTTATTTTTTATCAAATTAATTAATTTATTTATTTTTTAAAAAAATAGATAGAAAAATTCAACTAAACAAAATCAAAGTGTGGAAATGACCCCATTCTAAGCAGGCCCTCTAGTAGGGTGACCCATTTCTTCCCTGGGTCCCTTCCCATGCTCTCTCTCTCTCTCTCTCTCTCTCTCTCTCTCTCTCTCTTACCATGTATGTGTTGTTTGATTCATTGGGAAATGATAGAAATCAGCCTTCTTCTTCATCATCATCAGATGGTAGTGTTATAGCTCCTTCCTCCCCTTTCTCTCTCTCTCTCTCTCTCTGCACAAGTACACTTGTTTGTTCTCTGCATAAATAAATGACTGAGTGGGTTGGCAGTAGAAATATGAGTACTGAACCACCACACAATTCAGAACCTGAAACTAGCTCCAACTCATTCTCATCATCACCCTCCTCTTCACCATCCTCACCCGGGTTAACTCAGTCCCTCTCAAACCCACAACAACCCGAAAACAACCCACTACCCGCCAACCAAAAACCCAAAAGAATCCGAGAATCCAGCAGCAAACACCCGGTTTATCGGGGGGTCCGAATGAGGAACTGGGGAAAATGGGTCTCCGAAATCCGCGAGCCGCGCAAGAAATCGCGCATTTGGCTCGGAACCTTCCCGACTCCTGAAATGGCGGCTCGAGCTCACGATGTCGCCGCTCTCAGCATCAAGGGCGGCTCGGCTGTTCTCAATTTCCCTCACCTCGCCGGCTCGCTTCCTCGCCCCGCTTCGCTCTTGCCTCGCGATGTCCAAGCCGCCGCTGCTAAAGCCGCCGCAATGGTCAAGTTCGACTCTCCCTCCTCCTCGTCGTCGTCGTCGTCGGTTTCGGTGTTCACGAATTCGGATGAACTGAGTCAAATCGTTGAGTTGCCGAGTCTGGGGACGAATTATGACGAGTCGACCGAGTTGAATAGTAGTGAGACTGTTTCAAAATACAACTCAAAATTCAGATTTCTTTTCAAAAATCTTTTAAAATTTAAGAACTAAATAGATATATAAAAAATAAAATAAAATAATTAAAAAATATATATATTTTTAAATTTTAAAAAAAATTTAAAAAATACAGTGTGTAAATTTAGTAAATGCAACACACATTAAAAATAAATAAATAAATATTTACAATAAAAATATTTATCCTAAAAAATAAAATTTAGAAAAATTTTAAATATTTAAAAAATAAACCAAAAAAATTCATAATACAACTCAAATAACCGAACAAATATTTTTTTTTCTTTTCAAAACTCATTTCAAAAACTCCAAACTTAAATCATTATTTCAAAATTAAACCAAACGGATTTAATTTTTTTGGGTTTGTTTTTTTGCTGGCTCCAGGTTGAAGCCAATTCCAATAGATTATTATTATTAAATGATAATGCCACATGTTTTATAATTATGGCATGATATATTATAGTTACAAATAATAATATACAAACAAAATTATTATATAGAATGATAATTTTTTGTGAGTCTTCTATTTTAAATTAAAACATCCTCTATTGTTGTTCATAATTTTCATGTGTTATTTTTCTCTCGTGTCTTATATAATTATCAACCAATTATTACACTAAATTATTAAGTTTAGAAAATAGATCTGAAACAACAGATACTATGAAAACTTTATATATAAAAAGATTATTTATATATCATAATATTATTAATGTTATACATGTAGATATATATGCATATATATATTGACATGGGGGATAATATAGGTAGATGGTGGTGCTATCCTGTTGTTCAATTCAAGTGCTAAATTACGAGATAAGGTAAGGTATAAATGAACAGTGTAATAATAACACAGGCGGAAAAAAAAAGGAAAAAAAAATCATAAAAAATATGAGTAATATTATATTCATCAAATTTTAATTCATTTGAATTGTTTAAATTTATGCACGTCAATTGTTCAGTCAATCATTTAAAACCAAGGGAACAATCACCATTAATAAAAATTATACCGATTATTTAGACGATTATTTAACCTATAAAATTTAAATAATTCAGATGAACACAAATTTGATATTGAATCATTATTCAAAAAAAGATGTGTCAAAAAGTTAAAATTTAATAAGGGGTTGCGTGGTACTAATAGAAAATGACCCCATTCTAAGCAGGCCCTCTAGTAGGGTGACCCATTTCTTCCCTGGGTCCCTTCCCATGCTCTCTCTCTCTCTCTCTCTCTCTCTCTCTCTCTCTCTCTTACCATATAAGTGTTGTTTGATTCATTGGGAAATGATAGAAATCAGCCTTCTTCTTCATCATCATCAGATGGTAGTGTTATAGCTCCTTCCTCCCCTTTCTCTCTCTCTCTCTCTCTCTCTGCACAAGTACACTTGTTTGTTCTCTGCATAAATAAATGACTGAGTGGGTTGGCAGTAGAAATATGAGTACTGAACCACCACACAATTCAGAACCTGAAACTAGCTCCAACTCATTCTCATCATCACCCTCCTCTTCACCATCCTCACCCGGGTTAACTCAGTCCCTCTCAAACCCACAACAACCCGAAAACAACCCACTACCCGCCAACCAAAAACCCAAAAGAATCCGAGAATCCAGCAGCAAACACCCGGTTTATCGGGGGGTCCGAATGAGGAACTGGGGAAAATGGGTCTCCGAAATCCGCGAGCCGCGCAAGAAATCGCGCATTTGGCTCGGAACCTTCCCGACTCCTGAAATGGCGGCTCGAGCTCACGATGTCGCCGCTCTCAGCATCAAGGGCGGCTCGGCTGTTCTCAATTTCCCTCACCTCGCCGGCTCGCTTCCTCGCCCCGCTTCGCTCTTGCCTCGCGATGTCCAAGCCGCCGCTGCTAAAGCCGCCGCAATGGTCAAGTTCGACTCTCCCTCCTCCTCGTCGTCGTCGTCGTCGGTTTCGGTGTTCACGAATTCGGATGAACTGAGTCAAATCGTTGAGTTGCCGAGTCTGGGGACGAATTATGACGAGTCGACCGAGTTGAATAGTAGTGAGTTTGTGTATGTTGACTCGGTTGATGAGTGGATGTACACTCCGCCGTGGTTGGACTTCGCTGATGACGGTGGCGGCGGTTATTTTTCTGATGAGATTCCGGCGCCGCCAGAGACTTTAACTTCAACTAGTTTCGACTCTTTTTTATGGAACTACCAGCAATGAAAAAAAAAATATATATATATATATATGTGTGTGTGTGTGTGTGTGAATTAATGCTCTTTTAGTTGTTTGTTTTTCTCTTTTATTTTAGCTCTTTTGGTTTTTTTCTTTGAAGGGCTAAGATTTTCTCTCTCTTTCTTTCTCTCTGTTTAAAGAATTTGTGTTGTGTAATCTTTTCAATAAATCTAACAAACTGTACAGTTTCAGGAGAGAAATTGGCAATGTCATAAATTTCCTTTCCATGATGTATACAACATTAAACTCTCTCTCTCTCTCTCTCTCTCTCTCTCTCTCTCAGTTGGAATTTTGGCCATTCTTAACAGGGACTTTTCATGAAATTAGCTTCAAGGTTTATTAGCTTAAAAATATCCCACTATGTTTGGATGGAGTGATTTGGTGATAAAAGAAAAGAAATGAAGAGATATATATATTTTTCTTACTTGTTTGGATAATTTTAGTGGAGGAAAATTAGAAGAAATGAAGAGAAACGGAGAGAAATTCATTTATCTTATAACTCTCATTTTCAATCTTCTTAAAAGTAGAGAGATTGGAAGAGAAAAGAAAACAATAGATTCTTATATTTGTATAATATCAATTTTGTCCCTATAAAAATAAAAGAAATAAAATGATGGACAAAATATAAAAATGTTATTTTAGTAATATAATATAAAACAATTTCTTTTCTTTTTTTTTTCTTATGAAATCTAACTAAATAAGAAAAAAAAAATAACAATTATTTCTTTTCTTTTATTTCTTACTTATCCAAACAAGAAAGAGAGAAATCATAATCATTTCATTTCATTTTTTTTTTCTTATAACTTACATAATCATTTCTTTTCCTTGCTCTTATAAATTCCCAAACTTATTATTGTTAGTTAGGTCTTTCTACAATCTTGAACAGAGTCTTCCAAATGCTGACATCTCTTTACAAGTAAGCATTATTGAAGAAATAAAGAAAGAAACTACTGTTAAGACTTATTTTGGAAAGGAAGTTAAAAGTTATTTTATTTTTTTTATAAAAATATATTAAAAAAATAAAAAAATGATGTGATTTAAAAATATCAAAAAAAAATTAATAAATTAATTTTTAACCTTATTTCCAAAGACGATAGAAATTTAGATTATCTAAATCCCCAACCTTCACATTTGCTCGCAATAATTGCAGCTGCCATTACAAACAAAAGTGAGGGTTAATAATTTCAGTGATTGAAATTTTAACACGCGTGCGTAGTTGCAAACAAATGTTAAAATTCAGTAATTTTTGAAATATTCCGTAAATGTTATATCTCATCTTTTTTTTGGTCACCCTTTGTATCGAAATCAAAATTTATTATTTGTTTGGAATAAGTTATTAAACAAAGAATATATAATATTTTATCATATAATTCAATAATATAAAATTATTAAAAAAAGTTGAGAATACATAACAATGTTAAAGTTCAACTACAAAAAGTTTTCCATGTTGGTGTGCTATTGGCCTTGTGTTATAGCAAGTTGTAATTATTGGAGATAGAGAGGAGAGACATAGCGCAGAACCTAAATTCTTTTGCTTTTTATATATTTATTTATAGGAAAATATCAGCTATTTTGAAAAATATGATTAAAAGTTAATTTTTTTGATTTTTTTAACTTTTTAGTTTTTTTTTTTTTTCGAGAGCATACCCACTTCCCAAAATAATTATATCAGTAAAGTTTTAAAAGAATAATTATAAGAAAAATGTTTTGAAATTTTAATTTTATGAGTTTTAAAGGCAACTTTAATTAGTTAATAGTGGACTCCACTCACTGTGATGTGATGCTTTGACTTTAATTTTTTTTTTCTCTCTCATTGCCATGTCATTAGTCCTCCATTAATATACCAAAATTATTGTTCTGAATCATTGTTGTAATTATAAATTAAAGACAAAATTTATAAATATAAGTACTAACAATTATAATTATAATTTTTTTCATAAAATTATGTATATATATATATTTTCTTACATTCACCGGATGTAATTAGCCGTTTATTTATTAGGAAAACAATACGGCAGTATTTGGTTTAGTTTTTAAATTAACATTTCGATCAAAAAATTAAAAATATATCTGGTTAATAAATTTTTAAAACTCTTTTTAAAATTATTTTTTCTCTCTCCTCTCTCTTTTTTTATTTATAAATAAAACAATCAATCATTTTTTTCTCTCTCATCTCTACTCTTTTCTCTTTCATTCTCTCACATTCAATACATCAATCAATCAATCAATTTTTTTGAGAAGTGGGTCACTAGTGTATGACTTGCCCAGTAGTGGCCGTTGTGTGGCTCGTGGAAATTATTTTGGATTTTATTTTGTTGATTCGAACTGTTCAATTTTTAAAGAACATAGAGTAGAATATACTCGTAAGAAATCAAATTAATTGGATAGCAATAGACCCTTCATCAACTCGCATTTGTATATATATATATATATATAAATAAATATTTAACTATTAAACTGAATACAAATGTGAGTTGTTGGAGTGTTTATCGAGTTCCAATTAACTTAATGTTTTACAAGTATGTTATACTTTATGTTCTTTAAAAATTGAACGATTTAGGTCAACATAATAGAATTTAACATAATTTTTACGAGCCGCACAATAGTCACTACTATGCACCTTGCACAATAGTGATCTCAATTCCAATTTTTTCTCACACCCATTTATTCAATTACAAAAAATAAAAAATTATATTCAAAACTCATAATTAAATAAATTTTAATTTTTAAAACTTTTTTAAAAATAATTTATCTTTTAAAATGTAACTTAAAATTTAAGGTTGCGTTTGGTAGACTTTTGTAAATATGATTTGAGAGTATGAGTTGTATTTTGAGCTTTTGAGTTGTGAAATTATGATTTGAGTGTACAAAATTTGTTTGGTTATAATTTGTGAATAGAGTGTTGAATTGTAGGTGGAATTGAGTTTTGAAAGTTTGATATTACATCTGAAATAAGAAAATTTGTTTGGTGATGAGTTTTCAAAATAGTTTTCAAAACTTAATTCAACCTATAATTGATGATCAAACACACAACTTATAACTCGATATCCGTATTCTTGATCAACAGTTATAACCAAACTATTTTTAAAATACTTAAATAAAAAAATGATTTTTTTTCAATTAATTGTTTTTAAGTAATTTTTTTGAATAATTTTTTTTTTCAATTAATTTTTTTTCAAATAACTTCTATGTCAATTATTTTATGTCAATTCATTTTTCTGTCAATTCATTTTTTAGACCCGTATAAACATTAAAAATATTAAAATTATTTAGAAAATTAAAATATTAAACATATTTAGAAAATAAAAATATTAAAAATATTCCGAAAAATAAAATATTAAGAATATTAAAAATATTCCGAAAATCAAAACATTAAAAATATTCCGAAAATCAAAATATTTACAATTAAAATATCAAAATATTAAAATATTTTTATGAAAATTAAAATATTAAAAATATTCCTATAAAATAAAATAAAATATTTAAAAGAAAAAATAAAAAATATCTAAAATAAAAATTAAGTTGTTTTTTAATTTTGAAAAGAGTTTTGAGTTATGTGTTTAGTTATGAGTTTTGAAAAGTAATTATTATAATTTGAAATGAGTTTTGAGAAATGGGTATAGAATTATGATTTGAAAGCTACAATCAAATACCACACTCCAATCAGTTGTGGAATTATGTTTTGAAATCTAAACCAAACAGAGCCTAAGTTTCCGTTTGGTAGAACTTTCAAAATATAGTTTCACATTTACTTTTGAATGTAGTGTTTGTTTAGGTTTTTCAAAAATTAATTTCATACTCACTTTTGAAAACTTTTTCCAAGGCGAAAAAATTTGGGCTAACTAGTCGTCCCACCGGACATTCGGCCGGTTGACCGGAACAGTGTTTAGTTTTTTTTTTTTTTTGACACCTGTTATTTTTATTTTACAAAAAAAAAATATTTGTGAAATTTTTTTAAAAATTTTTATGTGCTTTGAATAGAATTTTAGATTGTGTGTTTGGTTATGAAGTGTAAGTTTTTGTATCAAATATCATATGTCACATCACTCTATTCAAATTCAATTTAAAACTCTTTTCAAAACTCATAACTAAACAAATTTTCTACATTTAAATCATAATTCCAAAACTCACAAACTCAAAATAAAATTCTATTGTCAAATCATAATTTTAAAATTCTACCAAACACAACCTTAATTCTTTTAAAAGAAATTAAATCAAACGTGGCCATATGTTGATTGCTCAAGTCTTGTTTTTGGCAGATAGCAAAAGGCGAAAGATGTGATTGTGACAAATTTCCCCATTAGGTCACTGTGAACTGTTTAGTTCCCCCACCCACTGTTTGCTACACAATTTTTTTGAACTAACTGTTTGCTACACGATGAATATAGTATTGGGAAGGTATTGTGGTGTGGGTCAATAGTCTAGTAGTCATATTTTATAATTTGTTTGGGAAGAAAAAATTTCAGGTTTTTTAGTTAAAATCATCATGAAAAAATAAAATAAATTTTTTAATTTAATAAAATAAAATATTATATTCAACACATAATCATTACATTTTTTCTTTCATAAAAATTAAAAAAAAGTCAAAAAAAACTTATCACAAATGAGGCTTTTTAGGCTAAACATAGCAAAAAAAAATTAAAAAGCCAATTCACATCCTAAACGAACTCTTAAAGTGTAATTAGAGTTGTTTTGGGAAAATGATTAAAAGTCATTTTTTAACTTTTAATTTGTTTTGAGTCATATTATCTCTTACATTTTTTTTCATGTTTTTTAAAAAAAACTAAAAAAAGTTTAAAATTCAACTTTTAACTATTTTTCCAAAATAAGCATAAGGGCAAAGATTTGAGTTGATGAAATGATAACAAACCCTTCAATTATAATCTAATTATACTAATATATTAATGCTATCTTTGATTTTTAAAAAAAAAAAATTTAAATGGTCGATCTTCTTCCAATTTTATGGCTCAACTTGAACCTACGCCCACTTTCAAGGCTATTTCCTCACGATTCATGAATACTATTTACAATCGGAAAGCTTATGGATGCTTTCAAACCTTATATATGGTATTGGGGGATTTCAAATAGGTAAACATTAAAAAAATTCATTGCAAAGACATTAAATTATTTGGTTTGTTTTGGGAAGTGGGTTGATTTTTTGACTTTTTGACTTTTTTAGCTATTTTAGCCTGGGCTAAAAAGCTTGGTTTGGGAAGGACTTTTTAACTTTTTTGACTTT